GCCTCCTGGGTTCAGGCAATTCTCCTGCCTCAGCCTCCTGATTAGCTGGGATTACAGGCACATGCCACCGTGCCCAGCTAATTTTTTGTATATTTAGTATAGATGGGGTTTCACCATGTTGACCGAGATGGTCTCGATCTCTTGACCTCGTGATCCTCAGCCTCGGCCTCCCAAAGTGCTGGGATTACAGGCGTGAGCCACCGCTCAAGGCCAGGTGTACTACAATTTAAATCAATTCTGACGCTATCTACCTGGAGTTAGCATCAGATCCCACAGGTTAAGGGCTCAGTCTCACAAGACTGCTCCTCTACTTCAGATGCCAATTGCAAGCCCCAAGTTGTGACCCATGACTGATCAGCTATAAATCAGGAGTTCTCACAACACCCTGTTTGGGTTTGAGTAATTTGCTGGAGGGGTTCACAGCACTCAGGATAACACTTACTCTTTTTTTTTTTTTTTTTTTTTTTTTGAGACGGAGTTTCGCTCTTGTTACCCAGGCTGGAGTGCAATGGCACGATCTCGGCTCACCGCAACCCCCGCCTCCTGGGTTCAGGCAATTTTCCTGCCTCAGCCTCCTGAGTAGCTGGGATTACAGGCATGCACCACCGTGCCCAGCTAATTTTTTGTATTTTTAGTAGAGACGGGGTTTCATCATGTTGACCAGGATGGTCTCGATCTCTTGACCTCGTGATCCACCCTCCTCGGCCGCCCAAAGTGCTGGGATTACAGGCTTGAGCCACGGCGCCCGGCCCAACACTTACTCTTTTGCTACCTTATTATAAAGAATATTACAAAGGATACCAATGAAGAGACGTCTAGGGCAGGATATTGGGGAAGAGGCACGGAGCTTCCTGACCTCTCTGGGAGTGCAACCCTCCAGGAACCTCTCGGTGTTCAGCAATCTAGAAGGTCTCCAAATTCAATCCTTTTCTGTTTTTATGGAGACTTCATTACATAGGCAGGATTTTTACTACTTGGTGCTATTCCATTGTATGGATATGCTACAATTTGTTTATTCTCTTTTTTTTTTTTTTTTTTTTTTTTGAGAGAGAGTCTCACTGTCGCCCAGGCTGGAGTGTAGTGGTGAGATCTCGGCTCACTGAAAGCTCCACCTCCCAGGATCAAGTGATTCTCCTGCCTCAGCTTCCCAAATAGCTGGGATTACAGGCAAACTCCTGACCTCAAGTGATTCACCCACCTCGGCCTCCCAAAGTGCTGGGATTACAGGCATGAGCCACCACACCCGGCCTGTTTATCCATTTTGTGTGTTACTGGAAACTTGGGTTGTTTCCAAGTTAGGGTTAGTATAGATAAAGCTGATATAATATTCAAGTACAAATCTTCTTATGGAAATATGCTTGTATTTATCTGGGATAAGTACCTAGGAGTGGAAATCACACGGTCATATGGAAAGCATAGGTTTAGTTTTTATAACAAACTGCTGGCCAGTTGTGATGGCCTGTAATGTCCCCACTTCGGGAGACCAGGGCGGGCAGATCACCTGAGGTGAGAAGCTCCAGACCAGCCTGGCCAACATGGTGAAACCCCATCTCTACTAAAAATACAAAAATTAGCCAGGCGTGGTGGTGCGCACCTGTAAACCCAGCTACTCAAGAAGCTGAGGCAGGAGAATCATTTGAACCTGAGAGGTGGAGGTTGCAGTGAGCCGAGATTGTGCCATTGCACTCCAGCCTGGGCAGCAAGAGTGAAACCTGCATGTCAGAAAAAGAAAAAAAAAGGGGGCCGGGCGCGGTGGTTCAAGCCTGTAATCTCAGCACTTTGGGAGGCCGAGGCGGGTGGATCACGAGGTCAAGAGATCGAGACCATCCTGGTCAACATGGTGAAACCCCGTCTCTACTAAAAATACAAAAAATTAGCTGGGCATGGTGGTGCGTGCCTGTAATCCCAGCTACTCAGGAGGCTGAGGCAGGAGAATTGCCTGAACCCAGGAGGCGGAGGTTGCGGTGAGCCGAGATCGCGCCATTGCACTCCAGCCTGGGTAACGAGAGCGAAACTCCGTCTCAAAAAAAAAAAAAAAACTGTGTAAATATTTTCCAAAGTGGTTGTACTGTTTAATATTCTCACAGGTAAGATGTGAGAGTTTTGGCTTCTCCGCATCCTTAGCAATAGAAGGTATCATTACACCCTGTATTTGACCTACTTTACCGTTTTGTGGAGGGCGTTCAAGTGTCTATTCCCTGTTTTCGTACCTTCTTTTATTTCTTCTGGTTGTTTTTCTTTTATTCTTTTTCTTCTTATTATTATTACTATTGAGTTTTGAGAGTTGTTTATATACTTTGGCTATAAATACTTAGTCAGATAACTGTTTTGTAAACATTTTCTCACAATCTGCAACTTTTCTTTCTATTTTGACAGAATGTTTTGAAGAATAAAAGTTTTACATTTTGATGAAATCCGATTTATCAGTGTTTTTTCATTTATGGCTTATGCTTTTTGTGTTCTACGTGCAACAATCCTGCAAGATCTGCACATATACCCCAGAACGTAAAGTACAATTTAAAAAAAAATCTACTTACTCAAAGGTCGTAAAGAATTTCTCTCTCTTTTTTTATTTCCCATTTCAAGTTAATATTTTTTTTTTTTGGCATGGCGTGGACACTTTCTTGAAATGACCTGACCCAAGGCCGGGTGCGGTGGCTCACGCGTATAATCCCAGCACTTTGGGAGGCCAAGGCGGGTGGATCACAAGGTCAAGAGATTGAGACCATCCCGGTCAACATCATGAAACCCTACTAAACTTGTATTTTAGTCTCTACTAAAAATACAAAAAATCAGCTGGGCACGGTGGCGCATGCCTGTAATCCCAGCTACTCGGGAGGCTGACGCAGGAGAATTGCCTGAACCCAGGAGGCGGAGGTTGAGGTGAGCCGAGATCGCGCCGTTGCACTCCAGCCTGGGTAACAAGAGCGAAACTCCGTCTCAAAAAAAAAAAAAAAAAAAAAAAAAGAAAAACTACTAAATTGTGTGCATTACATGGGTATACTGCCTTTCAGAAGAGACATCCTTTTTGGACCTGCTCCCTTTAACCAGCATCAGCCTTGGGAATGGCACCTACAAATTCCATAGAAACCCTGGGCTATTTCAGTACTAAGGCCATGTTGTGGTTGATTGAGTATAAGAAATCCAGGTATCCCATTGCTTTTATTATTTTTTATTTTTATTTATTTTTTTGAGATAGAGTTTCGTTCTTGTTACCCAGGCTGGAGTGCAATAGCGGGATCTCGGCTCACCGCAACCTCTGCCTCCTGGGTTCAGGCAATTCTCCTGCCTCCGCCTCCTGAGTAGCTGGGATTACAGGCAAACGCCACCGTGCCCAGCTAATTTTTTGTATTTCTAGTAGACACTGGGTTTCACCATGTTGACCAGGATGGTCTCGATTTCTTGACCTAGTGATCCACCCGCCTCGGCCTCCCAAAGTGCTGGGATTACAGGCTTGAGCCTCCATGCCCGGCCTGCTTTACTTTTAATGTAGGACAATACTTGTTTGAACTCATGATTTGCAGGTGAACCAGAGTTAGTGCAAGAACTAGTCACCATTTGAGGCTTGTTACTCCAGAATGGTTTACACTGTGCTCCAGCCTTCCATATCTGACTCTGGAGCATGGACCTGGGAGTCAGACAGCCTAGGTTCAAATCTGAGCACTACCATTTACAATTGTTACCTTTGGCAAGTCACTTAACCTCTCTGTGCTTCAGTTTTCTCATCTGTAAAATACAGATTGGAATGATACCTACACTGTAGAATTGTGAGGAATGAATGAGCTAATATAAGTAATATGCTAAAAATAGGGCTTAGCATATCATAAGCGCTACGTAGCTGTTCACTGTATTTGTTATTGCTATTGTGATGGGGGAAACTGAGCTGGAACCACAGGAAAACTCTTGGCTGATGCCATATGAAATGTATCCAGGAAACCAATATGTAGAAAGCAGTAGAGTCAGGGGCTAACAGATAATTTAACTGCAAAAAAATGCTAAGCAGGAAACACTTCTAAATATTCCTGTTTATACAGGACATGACACAAAGTACAAAAATAATGAAAACGGAGCCTCCCTGCAGGATTTAGAGTTCTTTCATATATATTTTAAATATACATGTGCAATACATTAAAATATATAGAGATGTGTGAATATATATTTACATATATATTATATATATATATATATATATATAAAATCACAGAAAGGATACATATGCACACTCACTCACACATCCATGCGCATACCCCAACAGGACCCATCTATACGTAAACCAGATGCAGTCCATATCAGGCCAACTTGGACACAGGTGAAAGCCCTGACTCAGCAGCAGATTGCAGATTGCAACTGCATCTGAGCAACCCTTCAGTTCCTTCTACCAACTGTAAGGCCATTTGGAAACACACTGAGAAAGGCTCCTCTGGGTGTATGGCAGAACCCAGGGCTCCTCTGGCAGTGCACAATTTGCCTGAGTTAGGACTGCGAGATTGGGATATCAAGGAGAGGCTTGTGTTATTTCAGGGTCTGAAACTAATAAGCAAACATCCATAGAATAACTTTAGCTCCAGGAAAAATGTGCTAGGGTCAGAGAATCCTTAGATAACTGAGCTCTAAGCACATTTCAGGCAGAAGCAGAGAAGTGTGTGTCGCTACTCCTCACCATCCAACTTGACCCAGAGAACTGGGCACAGGGTTTAGGGGTAGTAAAGTACAACATAGCAGACTTTAAGATTAAAAAGTTACTTAAAATTGAAGGATCTGAAAGCAACATAAGAAGTTACAGGTATCGGTTTGGGTTTATAAATGTTCCAAGAAGCTTAACCTTATATATGGCACCATTTGCAGCAATATCATTAACATTATTAATCATTATCATAACATATTTATATATACAAAAATAGAGCAAAGCAATTCTAGAAGAGGAGGTGTCAGTGAAGGTGTGGGGCTGCGTGCAGCCCAAATGTCAGTACACGTCAGGAAGATTCAGAACCGACAAAGACTGAGTGGCACGTATTTCTGTACTATGTATCCAATGAAAGGACATGGATGTCGCCTCTTCCTCGATGTATGACTATACACTTCTCCCCACCTCTCCACCCTGCAACACACATCCATGCACACTCTAAAAGAGATGGTCTATAAAGTTAGTGTCTGGAGGTCTTAAACTACGTTGGAGCACCTTGATTTCAAGCAAGTGCCCTCGATCTCTGAATTCCTCAGTGAATTTTGGATTCACTTAAAGAAAGGAACTGTATAACTCTTGTGTCTTTTAGCAGCAGTCTTTAGGAGCCTGCCGTCACCACTGCAGCTTTTTTTCCCATTGAAGGGGGTTCACGGCACAGGCTCTCTGTTTTTTAAGAGAGAATTCAGTTCTCTGAATTATACATCTTTCATCTCAGTTTTTCACTGTTGCTGAAATTTTAGTTCTCGGGCAGCTGCCATTGCAGGCAAAGCCAGGAGCAAGCACAGTGTGTGCAGCAGAGAATAGATGCAATGGCGAAGATACAGCTTGGTAAGGGCTTCTTTAAGGTTTTCTTTTCCACACTTGAGCTTCTACAAGGTGACAGGGCCAAAGGTGATGTCCACTGGGGGCAGCCTCGACACCTGATTGTTAATTAGCTACCCACCATGCACTGGAGAAAGACCACAACACTAACTTGGCATGGTTCCTGAAAAGTAATTGAATGGTAATGGCTTTCTGTCACTGTTAATAGAGCCCTAGGAAAAAGTCCTCTGAGTCACTGTGGTACAGGGGTAAGAATAATGAACTAGGAGTCAGAAGGCCTGTATTCCAGTCCCAATTCTGCTGTTAACTCAGTGTGTGGCCTTGGGCAAGTCCCTTCCTATCTCCGGGCCTCAATTTTCCCATCTGTAAAATAGGGGCATTGAACTAGATTAATAGTTAAGATTAATTCCAACTCTAACATTTTATGACTTTTATGTCCATTATTAAGGCCTGAGCCATGCAGTCTCAGGGCAGTTAGCTTCTAAGAGAGAACATACCTCTGTAATATCCTTTGCTTCATTCATTTAGCTATAAAGCACGTCTGCCTTTGGCACTTGGGTCAGACATACAAAGTTATGAGCGTCCTGATTTACTATCCTACTCAGCATGCTAGTGGACTCTGTCAGTATGATAAGTTGATTATTGAGACAGGGAGAAAAATTACAACAAATGAAACCTGGAAATGTAAAATAACTTTGCCTCAGGTGCTCACAAACAGGTGAGAGTGCTTGTGAGCACACACACACACATTGGGATACAGACTATTGCTAGTGATCAGTTCATTACAGTAATCCATTTCCCTTAATCAAAATTGATAAATAGTGTAGCATAGCAAAGTTTGGTGTCTAAGGAAACATCTATGGAAAAACAGCACTTTTGGACACGTTGGAGAAGGAGGGACAAGCAGAGAGAGACAAATATGGATGAAATGAGCTAGAAATACAGTCAGGGAAGGCTGGGCGCGGTGGCTCAAGCCTGTAATTCCAGCACTTTGGGAGGCCGAGGCGGGTGGATCACGAGGTCAAGAGATCGAGACCATCCCAGTCAACATGGTGAAACCCCGTCTCTACTAAAAATACAAAAACAAATTAGCTGGGCATGGTGGCGAGTGCCTGTAATCCCAGCTACTCGGGAGGCTGAGGCGGGAGGATTGCCTGAACCCAGGAGGCGGAGGTTTCGGTGAGCTGAGATGGCGCCATTGCACTCCAGCCTGGGTAACAAGAGAGAAACTCTGTCTCAAAAAAAAAAAAAAAAAAAAAAAAGAAATACAGGCAAGGAAAAGGAGGGGAGAAGTAGAAAGGGAGGAAGAAAGAGGAAAAGTAAAAGTAGAGAAGGTGAGAATGAAGGGGAAACGAATACAGAACAGAACAGAATAAAGAGGAGAGAGGAGGAAAGAAGAGAAGGGCAGTAACAGGGAGAAGGGGTCATATTCCCTGGAAAGTTGAACGCTGTTCCACATATACCTGTGAAAACCATATTAGAAGAAAGCTTCCAAAGGCACGGTGGAAAACAGAGTGACGATCAGAGCCTGCATCGAGAGGTATTATGTTGGGGAGCCCCTAAACCTCCACGTTGCTGGCCCTGTCAGTCCTCAGTGTTCAAACCTCATACCTATGTATCACCTGAATTTGCCATGACAGCCGTAAGGGCTGAACTGGCGGGGTGTAAAAAGACTGTAGAGGAGTGGGATAGATACTGTGAGAAAGAACAAGGCATCCTGCACCAGGATGTACTTGGTCATTTCCCTGACACTGCATGAACAAAAGAGGAGAGGCCCTAACTTTGGCTAGTTTTTCACTCCTCCCCCTCTCCAAAGATGAGGCCTATGCTTTACTGATGGGGGCTAGAAGGAGAAAAGCTGGGAATCTGCCTTGCGGGAAGGTCATACAGACTTTTCCTGGGCCTTGGGGAAGGGTGCACTACCAGAAGAGATCTTTCTGCACACAGTGTTGGTGTGCCTCTTGCAGCGGCAGCCTGGTCGCCGGAGGCTATCATAGCCCTGTTGGCACAGATGGAGGCATCCACGGGTAGGCAGGTAGCAGCACAGGCAGGGTAGGAAGAGGGAGATGAGGCTCATGGCTGCCCAGCGGACAAAGCAAGAACTAGGCCCACAAGAGCAGGGCTCATCGGCACAGTTGTCTTCATCATCAGTGGAGCAGTGGTAGAAGAGGCCCTTGACACAGCAGAGACAAGTGCCATAATCAAGGAGGCTCTCAGCAGAGCAAAGGCAACGCTGGTTGCACAGCCAGCAGGAGGGGAGAGGGCGAGCCGCCGTGCAGGGGACACACTTGCAGCGCCCACACTCCTCACAGATGAAAAGGTGCTCGCTGGGGTGCCCTGCAGATTGCTCACCTTCTCCCTTCAGAGCACCATCAGCCTTTGGGTGGGGCCCTGCTCCAGGCTGTGTTCGGATGATGGATTGGCCTGAAGGTGAGGGTGTAATGCTCCCCAAGAGCCTTTGATCAGAGGCAGTGGTGCTATGGGACATTGAGCTGGCAATGCTAGATTGGCTCAGATGCTGAGGCAAGGGCTGCAGTTGATGGCACTGGCTGAGACTGCGGGGGAGAGAAGTAGGCATGGTAGCCAGAGACCAATCAGACTTGTGGGTTTGCACAATAAGGGAAGGGCTAGAGAGGGCCTGTTTACAGGGGGCTGGAGGCCTTTCCACATAGTCATTGCTAGCATGAGTAGAGCGCAGCTGTTCAATAGGCAGAATTTGTTGAAAATCATCTGTCACCGCAGCATCCATTTTGACTTGATTTTGGAGCTCTGAGTGGTTTTAGGTCAGGGTGGCACTTATGGTGATAAAGAGGAGCCCTTGTAGTTACATGGACCTCAGGGCACATGAAAAAATCCTAGGAGACAAGGAATAAAAACAGTAAATGAGAACACACGGTCATAACTTCTTTGCAAGAAAAAGCTCACGCCCTGTCACCACCACTACCTTCAATTACTTTCTATAAACTTCATGCTACACCTTTATTCTGTAATTAACCTCACCTACCTCTGTATAGGCAAATCTGATCATCCCATGCAAACTATAAAGAATTCTGGGAACAAAAATCAGATAGTTGATTCTTTTTGTTTTCAATCAAATGCCTAGTTTTATAGGTATTTGCTAGCAGAGACATCTAATCCTTGAGCATCAGAATTCTAATACAAATGGAACATAATATTAAATGCAGTGTGGCGATTCCTCAAAGATCTAGAAATAAAAATTCCATTTGACCCAGCAATCCCATTACTGGGTATATATCCAAAGGACTATAAATCGTTCTACTATAAGGACACATGCACATGAATGTTCATTGCAGCACTGTTTAAAATAGCAAAGACCTGGAACCAACCCAAATGCCCATCGATGATAGACTGGATTGGGAAAATGTGGCACATATACACCATGGACTATTATGCAGCAATCAAAAATGATGAGTTCGTGTCCTTTGTAGGGATATGGATGAATCTGGAGAACATCATACTCAGCAAACTGACACAAGAACAGAAAATGAAATACCGCATATTCTCACTCATAGGCGGCTGATGAACAATGAGAACACATGGACACAGGGAAGGGAGCACTACACACTGGGATCTATTGGGGGGAATAGGGGAGGGACAGCGGGGGGGGAAGCTGGGGAGGGATAGCATGGGGAGAAATGCCAAATGTGAGTGAAGGGACGGAAGGCAGCAAAACACACTGCCACGTGTGTACCTATGCAACTATCTTGCATGTTCTGCACATGTACCCCAAAACCTAAAACGCAATAAAAAAATAAATAAATAACTTACTAAGGAGATGATTCTTTTTAAATGGAATGGTCGCTCCAGAATCAAACTTTTGTACATGTGGGAGTAATACTGGGGATCAAGGAACTATAGAAGAGAAGTCCTGGGTTATTTCAAAACTTATCTGTAATTATACCTATCACTACCTGGAGTCAACTCCATATTGATGGGACTTACCAAGCAGAATCTGCTTGGAGTTTTTTTTGAGAGGGAGTTTCACTCTTGTTACCCAGGCTGGAGCGCAATGGCACGATCTCGGCTCACCGCAACCTCCACCTCCTGGGTTCAGGCAATTCTCCTGCCTCAGCCTCCCGAGTAGCTGGGATTACAGGCACGCGCCACCATGCCCAGCTAATTTTTTGTATTTTTAGTAGAGACGGGGTTTCACCATGTTGACCAGGATGGTCTCGATCTCTTGACCTCGTGACCACCCGCCTTGGCTTCCCAAAGTGCTGGGATTACAGGCTTGAACCATCGCGCCTGGCCTGGACTTCTTTTCTCTATCACTACCTTACACAATAAACTGACTTTCTCGAAGAGCAGAGACATTCTTACACCATATTTAACCTAGGCTCAATATCTAGAAAGCATACGCTTGCATTTCCATTGTACCACAATCAGAAAGAAGTGGTTGGTCACTCCCTGAAGGATTTCACCAAGCCTAGAGCTGATCATGATGACCATGGGGAAAATACTGTCCAAATAGTGGACTGTGGTATCACATCATCTAGAAGACTGAAGAGCCAAAAACGTGTACATGAGGAAACCTCAACACAAATCCAGAAAACATGCTGGAGGCATTAGGACCTCGCAAACACTAGCATGAATAAAGTATATATTTGAGGTCCATCAGATTTCAGGCCTCCTCAGAATAGATCAATCACTCACACTACTGTATGTGATGGATAGCTTGAATGAAGAATAGAAATGAACAAGTGGTCGGGCGCGGTGGCTCATGCCTGTAATCCCAGCACTTTGGGAGGCCGAGGCGGGTGGATCACGACGTCAAGAGATTGAGACCTTCCCGGTCAACATGGTCAAACCCCGCCTCTACTAAAAATACAAAAAATTAGCTGGGCACGGTGGCGCGTGCCTGTAATCCCAGCTACTCGGGAGGCTGAGAGGCAGGAGAATTGCCTGAACGTAGGAGGCGGAGGTTGCGGTGAGCCGAGATCACGCCATTGCACTCCAGCCTGGGTAACAAGAGCGAAACTCCGTCTCAAAAAAAAGAAATGAACAAGTGAGAGAGGATGGTGCTTGATTAGGTTTCCATAAGCAGGCAAACATGACACTGAAATGAGCCCAAAGCTCAATAACAGGAAAAACAAGTAGAGAGTTCATAAAGGACTCAGTAGCTAATAATACGACCAGAGTTGGTTGACTTTTAAGGCGATATACTAATGTAAATCTGATTAGCGGAATTTACATTTGTTAGTGTTTTGAAAATATTTAATTTGATTAAAAATAACTTTCTTGGCACATTACATCAACCAGTCTGACAAAAATTTCACTTTTTACCTAGTTGTTTTGGTGTTAAATAAATGCAGCACAAAAGAATGCAAGTAAAAATTATAGAGACTCTCAGACTCAAATACTTATGTCTCTTTTGTCAAGTCACTTGTTTTCTTTGGGCCTCAGTTTTGCCATCTATGTGGAACTGAAGGATATACATGTGAAGTGAACAGGGTGATCTTGAAGGACCTTGACCCATTATGGTCCGTATTTCTTTTTATAACTAAACAATTTTACAAAATAATTCTTTTCATCCATACCTTCTGCATCTCCAAGTCCTTGACAGTAAGGTGGGCAATGTGCCCTTATTTATTTGGGCATTCAAAAGTAAAATGTATATTTCTTTTATTTACTTGCACTCAAAGTCTCATGCAATCTGCCACCTCTATCTTTGCTGTATCTTTATAGATTCATAATCTTAGAATTGGAAAGGAACAGGCAGCTTTCACGTAGACACCCAGATAAAAAAGGACACATTGTTCATTTGGCTTGGAAGGTAGTAAATGTGGAAACTTGGGAGTAGAAGAGTCTCCTGACAAATTTATGAGAAATAGATTTATGTCCCATTGATCAGCTAAAGAATATGTAGAGCCCCGCATGTCCTTTGTACTGTAAGAACGGTTATATACATGCCGAATATAATTTAGACTCATTGATTTCCCAAAAGAAACTAGATTCAAAACATATTGAAAATTCCAGGAAGAAATGATTTAAAGGAAGCTTTATAAGTTCTCAAAGTTACAGGAGATAAACAGGTGAGATTTCAAATACAGGAGTCCAGGGATGTCACTAGGCACCTCAGGGACATGCCCAGAAGGTTGAAAGCTAAGCTGGGGCCGGGCGCGGTGGCTCAAGTCTGTAATCCCAGCACTTTGGGAGGCCAAGGCGGGTGGATCATGAGGTCAAGAGATCGAGACCATCCTGGTCAACATGGTGAAACCCCATCTCTACTAAAAATACAAAAAATTAGCTGAGCACGGTGGCACTCGCCTGTAATCCCAGCTACTCGGGAGGCTGAGGCAGGAGAAGTGCCTGAACCCAGGAGGCGGAGGTTGTGGTGAGCCGAGATCGTGCCATTGCACTCCAGCCTGGGTGACCAGAGTGAAAGTCCGTCTCAAAAAAAGAAAAGGAAAGCTAAGCTGGGAGGAATCTAGGTCATAATATAAATGACTCAGAACAAATAATGAGAATTATTTTCAAAGGGGATCCTGTCTGGGGAGCAGAAGGGTACATGGTGTTTAGGCTGAAAACCTGTATTTGAATCTTGATTAGATTTTTGCAAGACTGATAAGTTTGAGATGCTTGGTTTGATGATTAAACAAAGCTGTGGGCATCAGTCTAAAATAATGATGTACTATCTTGGTTACAGGTAAGGGGACTGACAGGATGAACTTAGAAGGTGTCTTCCTGCTCTGTAGAATCTTTTATTCAAACAGACTCTGGGATCTAACGTGGAAGTGGGCAGTAGGACCTGAATAAAGTCAGAGCGTTAAGTAGCATTTAAGAATTGAATGACAATAAATTGTTTGCCATCCCAGATGTGCTGAATCTGATCTGGCTAATGGGATAAACTGAAATAGATACTGTACAGGAAGGGAAGAGGGAAAATATGTTGAGAAAGGAACAGGCAAGACAGTGCTGCAGCCCATAGACTACATGAAAAACTACCACCACATGAATGTTTATGATTCAGAAATCCACCCATTAAAGGGCCATTCATTGTGAGCAACAGTTAAGAAACTGACTGTGTAGTTGGTCAATTCCAGATTCTGTCAAGAGAAACAGAGACGGGGGCGGGGGGGGGGGGATGTACACATCACATATTGTTAAGCACAAAGGTGATTACAGGTCTTGGCTGCACACTGATGGGATCTAGTGATTTTTGTCACGTAGTGCCTCTGCAGTAATGAATGATGCATTGTAAACCCACTCCTATCCCGGTCTCTCTGGCCAGGTGCTCATAGCTTTCTAAACAGTTTTTCTGTTGCCCTGAATTTGCCATATTCAACCTAAAAAGAAAATTCTTTTCTTATGCCAATTTAGGGACTAGAAAGCTAAGCCCATTCAAGAAATGCTAATGTTTGTTAATGAAAGAAAATATATTTTCTCTCTGGAACCTAAAATCTGCCATGTTGAAAACTTTCCTATCTAAAGCCCTTCTATGCCAACACCTCAAGACAGTTCTGATTTCTATGGTAAATCCTTTCTGATACAGTATGACTCAATGTTGATTTCAAAGAAGAGGGGGGAAGAGGAGAGCCTGGCTCCTGTTTTCTCCCACTCCCATGGGTTCAATGCTGTTTTGTACCTTACTGTGTAACAGCTCTTAGGTGTGTTGATTTTTTCTATGCTCTGCTGTTATATACACTCCTTCTCAGAATAACTGAAAGAAAACATAGGGGGAATTTCTGATATGGCGTTATATGTTTTCTTAGTTCTACTGTTCCAAAGTCTGCTCTCTAAAAATCCCTCTCTGTGCAAAAGCATTTGCATCTCTATCAAAGCACTCCCCCCTTACAAATACCAAGTTGTATATAGTTTACATTACTAACCTCTCTGCCACTGACTGGGCCTCCCTCCTACCACATACATCTTGCTAGAGCTGCCAGGTTCTCACCACATTTAACTCTTAACTTGTCACTTTGCTACTCTAGTCCTATTCATTACTTTAATGGTTTCGTTAAGACTCGTAGCAGTTTATTTCAAACCAGGGAGTCTTGCAGTTTTAAGACCTTGAGTTTTTAAAGATATAGGTCTTTTAGTGATGAATGATACATGGAAAAATTGTAATGCCAAATGAGTTCACATATGAGGAAAATGCTAAGAAGCTGGTTGTTCATTTAAGAACTAGGAATCTTTTTAAAAAACCCAAATCCTTTTATATGACACAAGAAATGTAAGTTCTAGTCCTGATGCTGCTCTACTTTGCTATGTGGCTGTAGGCAAATGACCTCTGTTCTGGTCCTCAGTTTCTTCATCTGCAAAATGAGGGAGTGTAAAGGGACGGGTTTTAAAGGCCTTTCTCGTCCGGATGCTCTAAATTTTATGTTGGGTTTGTTGGTTGCATTTCTCTGTTGCCAAAGTCTTTCAGGAAGAATTAGTCTCCTTTCCTTTAGGTTCTTTACTTCCTCACTCCTCAACTCTTAATAAATATCTTCAAATCCAATTAACTCAGATAACTATCTAGAGTGTTTCACAGCTAGAGAGACCTAAAAACAGAACACAAAGAGACAAAATATATAGAAAGTTATAGAAATGTCTTAGTATATTTTTGTTTAGAGGCAAAGAGAGCAAGACCAATCTTTCATTGTGGATAAACTGCTAGCCTGTGCCTTATTTGTATTTATGAATGCAGCTGACTTTTTGGGAACATGATTTAACACCTGGTATATCCAAATTCATGTGATAACACATCATGTTACCGCGAGGTTTTAATATTCCCAGAAAAGCAACAATAGTTTGCATTTCAAAATAGAATGTCTGCTTAAGAGTTCAAGGTTTGTTTTCTGTTCATCCAACTTGGTTTGCAGCATGCAGAGGTGAATGATAATTATAATTAGCTGCATGGAAGTGAGTGTGCTGTAAACCGTTGCCCTAGGTCCTATCAAATGACTATTGGCTAAATAGACATGCTCACAGGTTCTCACTTTTGACGAAATTTCCATATGCCACACAGAGACATGTGCACACGTACCCAGGCACGGATCCAGAGATTTCTAAATCATTGCCCTGACTCAATGTAAGTGGGGGGTTATGCCGTGTCAGCTTGCGCCATTTCTACCCAGGGCAAGGTGATGTGATGAAATCTGAACGATGCACAGCCCAGACTTGTGAGCCAATAGCAGGCTAGCCCCACGCTGACAGGATGCCCGCTGGGCAGCCAGACTGGCCTTAGCACGGGCTCTCTCTCTGTCCTCAGCTTGGGTGGTTAGGCTGCGTTATGAGAGGTTTAGACAAGTACCAAAATGCATTTAAAGGTTAACAGGCTAGAAATTAAATTGACATTCTCCTACGAAAAGACTATTTTGAAATTCTATTTCGATTAACATATTTCCAATATGGATAGTTTTCTGCAAGAGCTGATTGATTTAAATATAATTTAAAGGGTTTTTATTTTATTTATGCGCTTGCGCGCACGCGCGCAGCCGCGCGCGCACATACACACACACACGCACACACAGAGACAGCCCAGGATGGCTGAAATGAATGGCAATCTGTGCATTGCATAGAAAGAATTCTGGGGTCTTTAAGAGCTAATTTCTATGGCTTACCTTGAGGAAAGGGTTTATCCATGCTGAGAAAAGCAGAAGGACTAATGCCCCAGCTGGCTCAAAGGATTTCTTCTCCTGAGTCTTCAGGTTTCTCCACCTCTCCTCGGAAAGTCTGAATGAAAACTCCTTCACTGGCAGGCAGTGGAGCCAGAAACAGAGATAGTTCTGTCTTGTTCTTTGACACAGCAGAGAAAACAGAAAAAATAAAAATAAAAAACCAAAACCCAAAACAAAACAAAAAAACTGGGGAGGGGGCGCGTCAGACCTGTAGTGGCATACACTTTGTATAGATTTTACAGGCAGATCTAAATCTTGATGCACGTATTCCCCAAAGAAAGCTCAGCAGGGTAAGTTGTTCACCTCCTCCTCTTTCTCCTCCGCCTCCTCTTTCTCCTCCTCCTATTTCTCCTCCTCCTTCTCCTCTTTCTCCTCCCCCTCCTCCTCCGCCTCTTTCTCCTCCCCCTTCTCCTCCTCCTTGTTTCTTTTCCCCCTCCTCCTCCAGTATTTTCCTTCCCCTCCTCTTGCCCTCCCTTTCCCTCCTCCCTTGCTTCCTCCTTTACCTCCTCCCCCTCCTTCTCTTTTGCCTCCGCCTCCGCCTCCGCCTCCGCCTCGGCCTCACTCTCCTCCAATTTGACAGATGAACAGAAGCAGCAGAAACTGCAGTTGTAGACACAGGGTATCTCTACGGAGCAATAGATACCGCTAGTGTGCGATTATTTATATGGCTTAGGGCGTGTTGGTATATGATCTGCAGTGGGGGCAGGGAGTAAGGTTGTAGTGTGTTCGGCTTAGCTAACTGGCTGTTTTGTGAATGTAGATGATTTCTGGAGGTGTTCTGAATGGGTTATAGGGAAGGATGGGAAAGAAGGGATTTATTGCTCCTTGTTATTTCTTTCTCTCCCCCTCTCTGTGTCGTTTGCTTTCCCGGAGCTGTAGCTCTTAATGCTTGGCTAAGTGGCGTCATCCAGATGAAATTGAATCGACCCATTAAAACTCCCCATAGGAATCTCTGTATCCTGTCCCTGGGTAATGACTGAAACAAAATTTAAAGGAAAATGGGGGTGGGGTGAAGAGTAACAATTTTAAGGAGGTCTCATTTAAATATCTTTGCCAATCATATTTCTACCAATCTACTCAGCCTGTGCCGAGTGATTGCAGCTTCAATAAGATGAAGAGAAAGAGCGTCTCCTTTGTTTAAGGGTTTCTCCCACCTCTTTTCCTCATCTGTGCCCACATTTCAGCCCTAATGATTGTCCATCCGTTGCCACTGGGAAACATTACCCAACCTATTTTTCCTTTAGCATGGCATGCACTCAACAACAAATATTTATTAAGTGCCTTCCTTCGTGCTAGGTGTTGTGGATTCAATAAAGAAGACATACAGGATTCCTGCCTTCATGGAGCCTCCTTGGGACTGAAAATAAAGCAGCTTTGGACATTTTCTCTTAAAGCCAAGGACAAAGCTTTCTGTAAATTACCCTCAGTCCACTATTTAATTCAATAGGAAAAGATCTTTCTTCTGGGCATCCAGACAGAAGCACTTGGATGACAGCAAGCTTTATATTTAAAATAAAGGAGATCTGATTTCAATGGACAAGTGGCAGGAGCTTGGCCATCAACATTCTTAGGATGCTTTGGTTACCTCATCTATAAAATTGAGATGGTAAATGGTGACAGTTCAGAGTAAAACAAACTGTGAGTCAGGAAACTGAGATTCTTAATCTCATCCTAACTCCTTGTGTGACCTTAGCAATTTACTTCCCCAGTAGAGTGTCAATTTTTACGTTAACCTGGGGGGATCTGATTAGGTAATTGCTAGCGTCCTTTCTACCTCTGACACTCCATCATTTACCCTCTCTCAGATGTGTTAAGAAGACAAAAGAAAGCGTGAGATTAAAAAAAGTACAGTTATGTGGGTCTGCATGCTCCTGTGGGTATGTGCGTGTTGAAGGTGCTTCAAATGGTTGTGATTACATGTATGTAAGTATATGTTTGTGTGTGTGTGTGTGTGTGTGTATGCCTATGTATGTGTGTGCGCGATTTCTAGACAAATCCAGATCTCTTTTCCCATTTGGAATTCCTAGTCAAGAGATTTTCCTATGTAAATTCTCTTTTGTGGCTCACACCTTTTCCTTACTCTTTTTTTTTTTTTTTTTTTTTTTTTTTTGAGATGGAGTTTCACTCTTGTTACCCAGGCTGGAGTGCAATGGCGCGATCTAGGCTCACTGCAACCTCCGCCTCCTGGGTTCAGGCAATTCTTCTGCCTCAGGCTCCCAAGTAGCTGAGACTACAGGCACGTGCCACCATGCCCAGCTAATTTTTGTATTTTTAGTAGAGACGGGGTTTCACCATGTTGACCAGGATGGTCTCAATCTCTTGACCTAGTGATCCACTCGCCTCGGCCTCCCAAAGTGCTGGGATTACAGGCGTGAGCCCCCGCGCCCGGACTTTCCTTACTCTTAATATTGGCTTGAGCTTATCAAGATCATGAAAACCCTTAAAGCTAAACCGTAGGCTCATCTACAGAAGAAAATATACATACTGATATATTTATTCACCCACTTATTCAACAAATATTTATTGCACGTTAACTATGTGTCAAGCACTGTTCTAAGTAGATTCAGGTCAAACAGATCAGGGTTCAGATTTTTGTTCCTTAATTTAGGAGATACCTCACTTCAGGCAATTCAATTCACCTCCTGGCATATAGCAAGTACCCCATTAATAGTAGTTATGAATGTTAAGAAATTGTTCTTGCTCTAATGTAACCCATAGGAGAGGCAAGAGATGATTTCGATTTGAAGTCTTATTTTATTCATTTATTTATTTTTGAGACGGAGTTTCGCTCTTGTTACCCAGGCTGGAGTGCAATGGCGCGATCTCGGCTCACTGCAACCTCCGCCTCCTGGGTTCAGGCAATTCTCCCGCCTCAGCCTCCCGAGTAGCTGGGATCACAGGCACGCGCCACCATGCCCAGCTAATTTTTTGTATTTTTAGTAGAGACGGGGTTTCACCATGTTGACCAGGATGGTCTCGATCTCTTGACCTCGTGATCCACCTGCCTCGGCCTCCCAAAGTGCTGGGATTACAGGCTTGAGCCATGATGTCTTATTTCTTAAAGTCTAGCTTTAAAGTTGAATAGCTCGGTTGCCTAATTCCCTTCCCCCCTTGACTCTGTGGGCCTATATTAATGCAACATTGAAAACAATTGGGATTATTCAACCTTCTCACTTCTTAGGATGATACCCAGGACAGAAAAAGTTAAATTGATGGTCATTCATTCATTCAATAATGCCTACTATGGGTCACTCACTAAAGGCTAGTAATTCGACAGCTAGATTTCCTGCGCTCCTAGAATTGACATTCCACTGGGCAGGGAACATGTTTACTCTGCCAGGTGCTGTTCTAAGAATTTTACATGTTTTAACTTATTTAACTCTCACAACAAACGTATGAGGTATATTATAGATGGTACTGGTTTTCAAAATGAGAAATCAAGGTCCAGATTTTAACTCAGGCTTACTCATTCCAGAGCTTATACTTTTAACCCCACTATACCACGGTATCCAACCATCGGCAAATCCCTTCAGGGATTTTTGTTCTAACTTTTAAAAATTATTTGGTAAATGCTATGGTCTGAATATGTGTGTCGTTCCAAAATTCCTATCTTAAAATCTATCCACCAATATGATAATATTAGGAGGTGGGGCCTTTGGGAGGTGATTAAATAATGTATGTGGAGCCCTCATGAATAGGATTAGTTCTCTTACAAAAGAAGCCCCGAGGCCGGGCGCGGTGGCTCAAGCCTGTAATCCCAGCACTTTGGGAGGCAGAGGCGGGTGGATCACGAGGTCAAGAGATCGAGACCATCCTGGTCAACATGGTGAAACCCCGTCTCTACTAAAAATACAAAAAATTAGCTGGGCACGGTGGCGCGTGCCTGTAATCCCAGCTGCTCAGGAGGCTGAGGCAGGAGAATTGCCTGAACCCAGGAGGCGGAGGTTGCAGTGAGCCGAGATCGCGCCATTGCACTCCAGCCTGGGTTACAAGAGCGAAACTCCGCCTCAAAAAAAAAAAAAAAAACCAATAAAACAAAAGAGGCCCGAAGACCTGCCTTGCCACTTCCATCATGTGAGGACACAGCAAGAAGCTGTGTCCTTCCTTATGAGGAAGTAGGACTTCCCCAGACACTGCTAACACCTTAATCTTAGACTTCTCAGCCTTTACAACTATAAGAAATAAATTTTTGTTGTTTATAAGTTATCTAGTCAAAGGTAATTTTTTTTTTTTTTTTTTGAGACGGAGTTTTGCTCTTGTTACCCAGGCTGGAGTGCAATGGCGCGATCTCGGCTCACTGCAACCTCCGCCTCCTACGTTCAGGCAATTCTCCCGCCTCAGCCTCCCTAGTAGCTGGGATTACAGGCAAGCGCCACCGTGCCCAGCTAATTTTTTGTATTTTTAGTTGAGACGGGGTTTCACCATGTTGACCTGGATGGTCTCGATCTCTTGACCTTGTGATCCACCCGCCTCGGCCTCCCAAAGTGCTGGGATTACAGGCGTGAGCCACTGCGCCCGGCTGCCTGACAATTTCTTTTACAAACTTGTTAGATTCTTAAAGCAGTGCACCAGAAAATTTGCTTTCTTAGGTCCTTGGTTAATGATGTACTCTTCTGAAAACATTTTGACAGATTCATTGAGTTGTCCAATATCCTACAGTTGAAGGCATTGGATTGGGAAACAGGAGACCCGTGACAGTGTTGGGCCTAGAAGTGAACACAGGTCTCCTGTTTCCCGATCCAATGCCTTCTTTCTCTTTTTAAGCCACCTTGCTGACATCAATTCAATTGCAATTGAATTTGGACATATTGTCTCAGCACAGATCAACACATCTATTTCTGAAAGCCATTGATTTCCAATAAATAAATGATTAATCTTAAAGGACTCCAGAAAAAGTCACCCTGCCTTGGAAATATCTTCTTTACTAAGTCTGTTTTAGAAGCTCTCTCAGTTATGATTTTGTAATGAATAAAATACATCTTTCTACGCTTTGTAGTAACTGGTTTTCAGATCATTTCTGATATGACAGTTAACTCAAGAACATATTGAAAGGAGGGACAGTATATCTTTTTATTTATTTATTTATTTTTGAGATGGAGTTTTGCTCTTTTTACCCAGGCTGGAGTGCAATGGCGTGATTTTGGCTTGCCGCAATCTCCGAGGAGGGACAGTATATCTAACAAAGTATACTGAATAAGGAGAGAGAGAGACTGGAAGTGGTGAAGAGTGACAAATGTTGAAATAAATTAGATAGGTAACGATTCAAAGAGGAACTGAGATCTGGGCAGAAAATGAACATCTATATATAATTCACATGAAGGGTACATGTGAAAAACTGGATTGGTAGCAACGTGCATGGAGTCTGAGAAGAGTGAGACGTTCAAACTGTCTTACTTAAGAGGTATATTGAAGAGAGGATTGGAATATATAGTGTTGGAGAATAACTTGAATGACAGGCAATTTAGACTTAGTGCTCTGGGAATTAGAAATACATTTTAGAACAATGAATAAAGTATGAAAATAAGCCACATTTAAGAAAGATAACAGGGCTGGGCACGGTGGCTCACGCCTGTAATCCCAGCACTTTGGGAGGCCGAGGCGGGTGGATCACGAGGTCAAGAGATCAAGACCATCCTGGTCAACATGGTGAAACCCTGTCTCTACTACAAATACAAAAAATTAGCTGGGCACAATGGCACGTGCCTGTAATCCCAGCTATTCAGGAGGCTGAGTCAGGATAATTGCCTGAACCCAGGAGGCAGAGGCTGCGGTGAGCCGAGATCGTGCCATTGCACTCCAGCCTGGGTAACAAGAGCAAAACTCCGGCTAAAAGAAAGAAAGAAAGAAAGAAAGAAAGAAAGAAAGAAAGAAAGAAAGAAAGAAAGAAAGAAAGAAAGAAAGAAAAAAGATAACATTGGGCATGATACATAGGTGAGGGGAGATACTAGAGTCAGGTCAGCCAAATTGGGGTGATTTGGAGTAATCTAA